TTTGTTTTAAATGTTTTATTTTCACCTACAGAATACAGACCTAAGTATGTGATTTGAAGAATTTTCTTTAAACATCTTTACACTACAAACTAACTCTGTAGGCAATAGTGTTAAGATGAAAGTACTTGAAGGGAGGACAGGGGTAAGGGGAAAAAATGAGAACCAAGACCTGTCATGTAAAGGTACAAGATCCCAATGATGAGTGCAACTGTACTGTATACCTAAAATGTACCAATAAACTCAAGGAGAAGAAAAAAAACGATGAAGAGATACTAAGAATTCTCGTGATAAGATTGCCACCTACTGGATTTCTTAAATTCTGCAATTTAAATATATTAAATACCACAATTAACATAATAGAAAATTTTTCTTTCACCACAATAGCTTAATATGAATATTTATAACATTTCTTATATCACAAGTAATTCTGTTTGCTAAACCAAACGAAGTATTGTTTGGGCAAAACTCCTTAGTCTAAACACTCTCAGTCAATGCTCATCTGAATATTTAGAGGTCATCTGACAGAGTCAATGAAAAAAAGAAAGTAATTTAAGCTGAATTCACTAATAACTGCTGAATATAAGAACTTGACTTGCAAGTATTAGATATTAACAACAAGATAGTTATATTAAAATCAAAGCAACATAGTGCTCGCTTCGGCAACACATACACTAAAATCAAAGCAACATAATTAAGCCATTGTACAATGCATACAAATCTCAAAACAATATGTATTTAATAAATATATAAAATTTTACCAATTTTTAAAAACTAAAACTATGAAAAGCAATATAGTAAGTGGTTATAAGGAATTAATTTTAAAAACAATGCAAATAAGTAGGCACTTTTATCTTAGAAAATTTCTAATGATAGTTACATGTACATTACTTTTTCAAAAACAGGTTTGCCCCAAATAATTTACGCAAAAGCTGAGATACAATGATAGCTCCAAGCTTGAACTTTCCATTACCCAAACAACAAAGCTGGAAAACAATCTGCTCAGTGTTCATAACTTTGCTCATAGTCAAGCCAAACATCCGACCTGAAAAAAACCTGTATGGGCCAAGAGTGAGTCATGGGATGCACCTCATTGCATCCCATCTCACAAAGGGGTAATGCTTCAGTGGAAACACTGCTCTCGCCTAGACATCATACAGTGCTTGTATTAATGAGTCCAAACATTCATCAATCATTTTTTTTCCTGCGCTTTATTTGTGTCAAATATAGCCATGGCTCCAAAGAAAGTGATACCGTCAGTAAACCTAAGAGGCAATATGTGAGAACCACAGCAGAGTTAAAGAAAGAAATCACTCTGAAATGTCTTAAAGACCTGGAAAAGTGAATTGTAAGTGTAATTCTGAGTCTTCAGAATCAATTATTTGGTTTTCCATGTTCAGTTCTTGAACTTTTTGGTGTTCGAACCCAAACTTGGAATGAATCAAGTTTCACTACAATGTGGTATGGGCAAATGTCTGTGTTCTGGAAAAATTATTCAAAAAGTAGTTTAAGGCTGGGGATTCAGCTCAGAGGTTCCACCGCTTGCCTCGCAAGTGCAAGGTCTGAGTTCGATCCTGGTACCAAAAAAAAAAAAATCTCAAAAAGTAGTTTAAATGTATGAAAATATTACAAAGAAACCCATTATTTTGTACAACTAATTTGTGATAATAATTATGATATTTCTTAAAGTAGGTTAAATGATAACGAGGACAATGATACTAAAGAGCAGTGGGGAGAATGAATAAAAACATTAGGAAATAAAAGTAGTCAAAAAGTAACATTTCTAAGTTACTATTACTTTCTTATATATTTAAAATGTATGTCTAAATGTTTAACCAAGTTAGCAAAGAAAATATAGTTAAGGGGCTTAGCTCCTCCACCTATATTTGTCAAGATTTCTATACTCAAGTTAATCAAACTTGGAATTCACATTGGGAAAAAGAATTGCTTTATTTTCAGGTGTAGCTCATTTATCATATGCTATTTAATCATAAAACTCTTAAAATTTAAAAAGAATATTCATTCAAAACTAAATTATTCAAAATAATACCTAATACTTTATTGCATGTGTTACCACAGACATATTAAATTAAAATCTAGATGCTTTTTATGTCAGAAAGGAAGTGCACAAGAAATGTCAAAAGGACACGGGGTCTAATTCTTAGGTATGTGACTGCCAAAATAACTAAATACTATAGTAAATTACAAAGCATTGCGAAAACAATGAAATTCAAGAGTCTATACCAATAATAAGTAGATAACTAAGTGGGAAAGAAAGGAAAGTTCTTCTTTATAGTAGAATGCCAAGGACTGACTGGTAAGGAAGACAGAGTGCAAGCGGTGGAAAATTATCATTTTGTAGTCACCATAATATCAGACAAAAATCATGAATGAAACTGAAGGAGGAAATTTTGATGAGAAACAATATACTTTGTGATCTTAAAAGTATTTCTTACACACCTTGTGTAAAAAGAAGCCCATAGACTGAAAGTGAAACGATAGAAAACAATTCTCCATCTGACAGGAGCCCAGAAAAAAACGGGGGTAGCAATCTTATCTGCAGACAAAGCAAATTTCAAACCAAAACTGATTCTAGTATTATTGATGCAGGACAGTATTGTATCATACCTCTGTGAATGTAAAATATCTTGTACCTGCTTTATGATACATAGTGACTGTGCTTTGTCAGAGCTATATTTAATGGTATTACTTTACAATGTTCTCTTTCCAGATGATGATTAAGATGCTAATAAAAAAAAACGGTGCCAGGTACCACAACAGCAACAGAACTTTGCTGTTTTCTGGATATTATTCTTTTCTTTGTTCTTTGTTTGTTTGTTTGTTTGTTTAATGGAATGTGCTGAATATCTATAATTTTATTCAGATGACTGCAGAACCTGGAAAAGCTGTTGCTGCAATCGATGCATAACATACTGCTATTATTAGTCTTTTTATATAAATATAAAAATATATATATATATATATATAAATTGAATTTTGGGAAACTTTAACAGTGCTGCCAATTTTGGAAAAAGTCATCCCAATTTACTGTGTTGAGTTGACATTGTACAGAAATGGACAACCATATTGGTAATTAATTTTTTTATTTTTTATTTTTATTTTTCCATTTGTACAGGGGTAACGCATTGTACTAAATATGTAAGGTCATATCTATGTGGGTTTGATTACAGAAACTAATAAAGTATTCTCTAAATAATGAAAAAAAAGTGTTTCTCCACAGGCCACTTACTAGATGGGAGGAAGAAAAAAAAAAAGTAAACAGTGAAGGAATTAGACATTTTAAAGGGTGTTCAAAATTAGTATCCCCAGCAAGGGAGAGATGACGATCAAGCATCTTCAGAAGTGATATACTGGAAGGTATACCACATCAGCCACAGGGTAACATACAATCTGAATCTAACCATGAGGAAACACTGGAAAAAACGTGAAATGAACAATGTTATATTAAAAAGAGGGGAAAGAAATATATTTTTCAATGTATTTCTTGTCTTAAAAGACAGAGAAAGGCTATGGAAATGTCCCAGGATTAAAGAAAGCTGAAGACATATGGCAACTAAATACAGTATCTGATGATAGGGTAAATCCTAAACTTGAGGAAAGGTATTATTGGATTAACTGACAAAATGGGCAAAGAGTACACTGAATAAAAAGTAGAGTTCAATGAGTTTAGTAAACTCACTTAAGTCGATAAGAATACTATGTAAGTGAGTCTTCAGTATTACAAAATATGCATTAAGGTATTTAGGGGTATATTAAGGGCCTACCTATGTAACATGTTCTTAAACTGTTCATAAAAATGTATGTATGTGTGTGTGTTTGTGAAGGGGGCAAAGAAAACAGGGAACAACATTACCAGTAAGTAAATTTTATTAGAAAGTATACAGGTGGTCTCAATAGGTACTACTTTTACTTTAACTCTTAACTTTGAAATTACTTCCAAATTTAAAAAAGTAAAACAGGGCCAGGAATTTAGTTTAGTGGCACCGTGCCTGCCTTACAAGCACAAGGTCCTGAGTTCAATCCCTGGTACCAAAATAAATAAATAAATAAAATGTTACTGTATCTAATGCTAGCCAATATTTTAATTAAAAAGTCACTATACAAATCTAATCATATTCTTTTAAGACTAGGATACTCAACATCAAGAGTACTTTTTCTCTCCAGCTCCTTTTTTTTAATCAATTTTAAGACTCAACACTATTTATTATACCACTTGGAAAAAGAAAGGTGACAACTATAACATATCATCACCAGGAACAGTGGTGCACACACCTAATCCTAGCTACAAGGAGGCTGAGGAAGGAAGATTGTAACTTGAGGCTAGCCTGGATAATTTAATGAAACCCTGCATCAAGATAAAATTTTAAAAGGCTGGGGATACAGCTCAACACTCGAGCACCTGCCCAACATGCACAAGGCCTAGGATGAAACATGCAGTCAAACACACGTGTGTGCGCGCACACACTTACTTGTATTTATATATTTTTTAAATATGTCCTCAAAATGAGGGAAGCTGAGGCAAGGAGGCTGAGGCACAAGTCCTGCCTAGGCAACCTTATCCCAAAACAAAAACCAAAAAGGGCTGGGGGTGTAGCTTAGTGCTACCTCACCCCTAAACTTATTCCCCCATACAGATGTTTCAAGTATATTTTAAATATTCTAAAGCTCCAGAAACTAAAATGAAATATAAACTATACGTAAGAGACAGGAAAAAGGGATGTGGACAAAATTTGAAGCTGTTATTACTTAAAAATTAAGTCATTTCATGTTCATTTCTCCCATAAACTGAAATTTGTAGTGAATCAGCTACTTAACTTAAAGTGGAGACTACACTGTTATTCTCATTCTTATTTTTAATTGGATAAACTAAATTATGGTGAAAAGCCACAATGAGTAATACAAGTGAGGTTCACATATATACCTTCTGAAACACAATTAGGTCAATACAAGTTTTTAGTAGCATTTAGGAGATAGCTACTTACCTTTCAATAGCTAATTCTTTGTTAGAAAGTTGCTGCACTGTGATCACAACCTTCTTCTCTATTCCTTGTTTTAATTTGAAATAAAATTTATCTCTATCCTTAGGTACAGAACTGAAATATTCAAAAAGAGCAAGAATTATCATTATAATCTGATTAGATAAATGATACAATAATATGATTAAATAACCTCTTCCAAGCTTAGAACAAGACAACAAATTATGTATGCAACAACATTCCAATTCTTAAGATGTACTAAACTCTCACATTGCCATTGGTAGCAAACTATGAATTTTATAGTCAACAACACAAAATTTCTATTTATTTTTAATTTAGACTTACAAAAGCCATATATTTTGTTTTAAAACCAAGATCTAAACAGGTACCAATAATATAGTTTGAAGTTTTACTTCATTTTCAAGGTTCACTTAATTTTTTGAATGACTGTCACATGTCTGGTTTTACTGGTTGAATAGTCATGATTACCCATAAAACAATGAAACTCAAGGCAAAAAAAAGAGAAAATTAAATCTTACTTTTTAGACACCTAAAATTTTAGATGACTGTGATAAAACTAAGTAAATATAAATCAGAAATATAATGAGATACAGGTTGTGGCAAAAAATCTATCTTACATGAAACTGAGTATTCCTGCAATGAATTAGTTCATCAAAATAAAATACCTTGAGCAACTTACTTGACCCGAGACTCAATTTCTACACACACCTGGTAGAAAAAGGGGTGCCGCTGAGATCAGAATTTAAGTCAGAGCACAAACTTAAATTATCACATGGTTTCTTTTATATGAGAAACCCAAAGTACTATAGATGTAAAAAGCAAAATAAAAGATAAACAATGGGAAACAGGGAGGTAGAGTTTTTCCAAATGGAAAGGGAATCTAGAGATAGAGGAAAAGGGGAAGGGGAAATAAAAAGAATTAAGGTATGTTATGTACATGTACCAACTTTTCACAATGAATGTAATCATTAGATACTGCAAACATGTACCAATTAAAAAAATAAGCCTACCTACCAATATTGTTAAATGAAGGGCACATTTAAAGAATACAGCTAACAAATAATATAACTGCCTTCTACTGTCTATTTCTAAACTGGGAAAAAATTTAAACATATAATAAAAATAAATGATTAAGTGATGGTCAAGCCATGTAATACTATCAGTAACTATTAGCAATGATTTTAATTAAGTACATTTTTACAAATTCTTACATCATAAAGAAAAAAACTGTGTAACTACCATTGGTAAAATGACCGCTAGAAATAAACAAAAGGAATAAATTAAATGTTAAAAGTGATTATCTACAGCTGGCAAGATTAGAACTTATTCTATTTTCAATATTTTACTAAATTTTCTATAATAAATAGAAGCATCTTTATTCTATGTTTTTTTCTATAACACATTAACAACACAACTAATGGGTTTCACTGTGACATTTCCATATGTGCATGCATAATAATTTTTTAAATCATTACAAAAATCATTTAAACATCCAAAAGGCACGAGAACAGTGAACAGTAATTTATCAGCCAAGTATTTTATTATCATTTTAAAGCTTTATGCCAACATTATCTAATTTCTAGAAATTTATTAGTCAATATTATATTTCAGAAACAATGCTAATTTTTATTATTTTCAAATAACCTCACCTAAAGTTTCCTTTTCCATCATCTTCTTTTACCTCCAAAGAAACACTGAAGGTAAACACATCACTGTCGGGGGTAGGAATAATCAAGTCCTTAACATCAGACACTTGTCTGGAAGAACGTTTGAATGCTGTACAGAAACTATATAAAATTCTGCTTACCTAAAAGAATAAAAATAGAAATGCCATTAGGCATAGATTTTAACTGCATTATGATACCCTTTCCATGAACACAATTTTCTTTATTGAGGTAAATTCTAAGCATCTGATAGTTGTTTAAATACTGCATTTTAAAAATCTCATTACTTATGCCTTCAGAAGGGGTAAGCAACTGTATATGTTAAGGACAGACTATTCTAACTCTAAATTATTACAACATAAAGACTACCATCAGCATGAAAGGATAACATTTCAAGTTCCCTCAAAGAGTAAACTAAATTTCATAAAATGGTTAACTTTCTTAAATTAGTATTAGGGCATCACTTCATTTCAAAGAAACTTAAATTCAAATACGAAATTTGTTTACAATCTTACACAGATAAAATTCTACAGCAAGCACCACCAGTACAAACATTATAAACAGTAAGAAAGTTAACATTTAGGAGCTGCAACTAGAATCTAGGCCTCCTGAGAGTGAAAAGAGTGAGGAGGATAAGGCCCACTCAGCAGAAACAGTTAAGCTGATGTCTTTGAATGTAATTTGGAAAAATCTCACATTACTAAAATGCACAAGAGGCTTGGCCAGAAAAAAATACTGTCAGTACCAAAAGGGATCATTTCATTATTATTGAAAATTTTCTTTGAAGAGGTTCTCAGATATTATCTAACAAGGCAAAATTGTCTTTAAAAAAACCACAGAGGTAGAACATGTATATCATTTGTCAAGAAAAATTTTTTCAACAGATCAAAGATATTTTATTATCATAGTTGTTTCTCCCCAGTGTAAATGGGCAGGGTCTCTTTGGTTCTAGATACATAAATAGGTTATTCCTCTGTTAGGGATTAGATGTTATTAACTGTTATCAATCAATAATGATTTTTTACATATATATACCTTTTAATTTCCATATGACATTTACACACAACACCCCATTTGATCCTCTAAAACAATCATACAAAACAGGCCTAACAGGAATGATTAAAGTAGGGTTTATTAACTTCCAAAATGCTCAAAGCTAATTAGTTATGGGTCTGAGTCAAGGGATTTTTAGAGTCCACTTCCTAACATTATTTTGATTGGTTTCCTGCTACCAATGAGTTCCTCTCACAGAATAGTACAAAAGAAAACCAAGTTCAATAAATTTATGCATATGTGCCTAGCTAGAGTACATAAATATGTCAAGCATGTTCATATTGAGAAATGCAGCTTCACTAATAACTTTAACTTGTCATCTTTCAAATACTCTTGGTCAATGCTCACATTTAAACATAGCAATACAGATGAACTAAGTTCACAAAGGAACCACATTTATAGATGTCTCTAAGCTTCAAAATACTGCAATGAATGGATCCTGAGTATTACTAAGATGATACTAGTATACACTTCTTCCCAATGAACACTCACAAATAAGGTTTTAGCTCAAGTCTTCAATTTCTCTTTTCACTTCTCTCAATTTCAGAGGGCTAGATAATGAGCCATAGAATAGAAGCAAATAATGGGTTTTATCAATAAGCATACATGATAACAGTGTGAAGAGCTTCCAGCATTTTTATTTAATGTGGTTATGATACAAAGTATTAAAGCATTCCCACAATGAATGAATGGTGATGTGATCTTAATCTATTCTATAGACTTAGGTTGCTCTAGTGACTACAAAAAAAGTATGAAGGGCCGGGAATTAGCTCAGTAGCTCTGCCACCTGCCTTGCAAGTGCAAGGTCCTGAATCCAATCCACAGTACCAAAAACAAAATAAATAGTATGAGATATATACTTTTTCCCTAAAGTAGCAAAATATTATTAATCCCACAGTCATTCTCTTCCTTGGTTCCAAAAGAAGCATCACAACATCTCAAACTCATGTGCTTGAAACACAAATGACTCTCCAAATCTCTCAGCCCACCCAAAGAATCAATAACGAAAATGACATGAAATGTGAGGGATTAAACGAAGATTATATTTTCAATACCTCACATCCTGATGTATCAGTAAAGACATTGCTCTGAAATTAACAAATCTTAGATAACATTAATTAAAAGTATTGTTGCATATAACAAATTTAGGCATACAATATTTTATAATTTGCTTGAAACAAGAACATTGATAAGAACTATAGGTCTCAAGTTTTACACATTTAAGACAATGATAAATTTACTCAATAAATTTTTGAGCACCTTCTACAGGCAAAGTATTATTCTAGGTGCTAATGATATAGACAAGAACATGGAGCTTACACTCCAACAATACAAATTGAATGTGCTCGGGTTAGATAAAAATGAAACTAAGCCAAAAGTGAAGTGGGTGCAGCCTGAGCTGCATACCAACCGAACTCAGCTAAATAACTTGTCTCAAAAAACATTCTAGAAATACTCCACTGAAGAGTACACCTACAAACTGTAGACTTCATGCTACTTTTGACTGTTTGAGTACTCCCCACTTCCAAACCCCCAAAAATGTGTTGTCTATATTCTTCTTTTTATTCATTTAACCTAGTATATTTTAAGAAGCATTAAATGTGAAAAAAAGAGAATCATCTGTATATAATTGCATTTAAGTTAATAGACAAACTGCAAGACATTTCTCAGACAAAGAAGTAAAAGCAGCAAGTAAATATATGAAAAAATGTTCCACATCACTGGTCATTCGAGAGATGCAGGTGAAAACACACTGAGATTCCACCTCACCCCACAAAGAATGGCTGCTATCAAGAAATCACTGAGTAACAAATGTTGGTGGGGTTGTGGGGAGAAAGGAACCCTTCTCCATTGCTGGTGGGAGTGGGAACTAGTGCAACCACTATGGAAATCAATATGGAGATACCTCAAAAAACTAGGATAAGAGGCCCCATTTGACCCAGCTATCCCTCTGCTGGGTATCTTCCCAAAAGAATTAAAAGAATCATATCACAGTGATATATGTGCACCTGTTTATAGCGGCACAGTTTGTAACAGCTAAAACTTGGAAACAGCCCATTTGCCCATCAGTTGGAGACTGGATAAAGAGGATGTGGTTTTTCTATAAAATGGAATACTACTCAGCCATAAAGAATAAGAAATTAGAGTCATTCACAGGAAAATGGATACATACTGAGAATATACTCCTAAATGAAATAAATGCCACATGTGTAAATACCAAATAATTTCTCTGGTGTGAAAAACTATAATGGCATATATGATCCTAATGGTATAATTGACAGTGTGAAATAGGAAGAAAAGGGCTAAAGGTGTAGGGGAAGTGGGAAGGGTAGGGGAAAGGAAATAAGGGAAAAGAAAAAAAAAACATGAGAAAATGAAAAAAATGGAAATAAAGTATTTGTAAATAGGGGAGGAGGGGGTGAAGGGAGGGCGTGAAGGGAGGGCAGGGACAAGGGGGAAAAATGAGAACCAAGACCTGTCATGTAAAGGTACAAGATCCCAATGATAAATGTAACTGTACTGTATACCTAAAATGTACCAATTAACTCAGTGAGGAAAAAAAACTGCAAGAAATGTTATTCTTTTTTTCCCCCTTTTCCCCATCTCTTCTTCTGTTTCATTTTCTTTGTGACAGAGCTATCAGTAGGCTTGCAACATTAGAAGGCCACATCAAAATTGTCAAAGAATTCAGCAAATTCTAAAAGGGATGGCAAGACATCAGGAAGTTGTTTTTAAAAGGTTAAGTATATAGTGATAGAGGTGATGGGAAAAGAAACAGAATGCACCTTTCTCTCTTTGGAGAACAATGCACAACAGTACATTAACTTCATTAACAATAATCAAAATGCATTTAATATTAACCATGTTTTACAAGTTGGTATTTCCACCAAAAAAGTTAAAATCATTTAAAAATTGTGAATATGCTAAAAAACAAACAAACAAATAAATAAATAGTGAATATGCTGAGGTGATGAATCAAGGATTGTTAAGTTAAATTTTAAAAACAATGATTATCAATATGTATGGTTTCTGGATCAAACTGGATAACCAATTACACGAAGAAAATTTTAAAATATATATATATATACACCATAGCAAAGATTTCAAAAAATGGCACATTATTAAAACACATACACCACACAAAAATGACCTTGAATGGGTATTTTCTTTGCAGAAGGCAAAGGTTTATTGAGAAATAATACAACACAATTTTTCCCAGAAAGCAGTACCTTCAGAAGGCACTAATTTGAAACAGAGATAGGTCAAAATTTAACTGCAGTAGAAATTTAATCATCTTTTATTCTCTTCATTTCAATGTTTTTCAAAGCTGTAAATATGTTTAACATGGTAAAAGTACAGTGATACTAAATAACAAAGATATTTACTTATATTAAAAATAGTTAGCTTTTCCAAGTTAAAAGTCTTCCATTAATATCTGGTTGGTGTAAAATAACTTTCTCTTTTACAAATAATATATATCAAAAAATGTCCAACCAAGAAATAAATGTAGAAAAAATTCTATGAAAGGTATTCTGAAAGCTATGTATTAAAATTTTAAAACCAACTTGTTCAAATACATTTCACTGAAAATAAAAGAAACTTCTAAAAAATATATTATCCAAGAAACTTTTTAAATTGTAATAACCAACTTACAGAAAACATTAATGGATAACTTCTGAATTCACTATCAAGATAATGCATTTAACTAAAAAACCACCTCAATAAATATCCACTTAGATTATTTTTCCATCTAAGAAATAAAGTTTTCTTTCATATAGTGGCATACTGGGAAACTCCTCCACACCCAAAATAAAAGTGCATTAAGAATAAAGGTCTTCTTAGCCTGGGATTTAGCTCAGTGGTTCTGCTGCCTGCCTTGCAAGCGCAAGGACCCGAGTTCTATCCCCAGTACAAAAAATAATAATAATAATAATAATAATAAATAAA